GTTAAACTTATATTAAAGTTTTTCTTCATTACCCATTTAAGCCGTCTCCAGCCATTATTTTAGATAGCAATCCAGATCAAACAGTGGGCGAGTTTAAGTTGTCTTCTGTCTATAAAAAATACAAGTTACGATACAGTAAAACTCCTGTGGAAATAAGCGGATGGACTTAAAAAAAAGATGAAACATAATATTGTCGTCTGAACTCTTCAGTTTAGTGCAAAGGAATACGGAAGAATATATATATATATGAAGCTTGATAAATAATTAAACGTACAATAAGGATGTTAAGCTCCTTTTTTTAAGGTTGATTGTTCATTCGAAACTAACGAGCTTTTTCTCCATCAGAGAGTCATAGTTTGATGATCTGAGCTAAAATTTTGAAATTATCAATAGAAGTAGGGTTGTTTTTTCACTATATATACGAATAGAGAAGCTCAAGGTTTTAAACGTTTTTGATTAATTCTGCTTAAAAACTCACACATTTTTAGTTTTAAAGGTGTTTTAAATCCGGAAGGAATAACTAAAAAACTATTCGTAGTTTAATTTGTAATAAAGGTTTCTTTAATACTTTCCGAAGTGAGATTGTGATGAATATAAGACACAGGTCAATGCTCCTTTTATAATTGTTTTTTATTAACATTTTGAAAATCGTCTTTATAGCCGAAATGAAAAAAGTATAATGGTTTGGGGAGCAACCCATTAAAGACAGTTTTATATAATTTTTATCCTGCCAATAATGACGACCGTTTGTCGTCGTTATTCTTGGCATTGTCTTCATTGTATGATATTGTTATTATTTCCTAACTTTGATAATTGTTTTCAATATTAGTAACTTGTTTTATCGAGTGGGAAAAACTCCTGATGTTGCCATTCTCTCTCACATTATCTTAATATACTCACCATTATCTGGACTGACGAACCATATGAATTTAGTCTAAATAAAGTTTGGAGACGGCTTGAATGGGTAGTGAAAGGAACTTTATCATAAATGTATAATACAACGCTTCGACAAGCTTATGTCATTATCGGCTTGATGGCATAAGCTATTCAAAACACTAGCCATTTGTAATAAAGTTTATTTCACTACCCATTCAAGCCGCCTCCAAACTTTATTTTCTAAAACATTGGTTCCTCGTCATCATATTTGTCTTTGGTCTAAATAAGAAGTGGTCAGTTTATGTGCAGTTTCGTGTGTAGGAATACATTAAACGTTTTAGATCACAGAGTTCTCATGTTTTTCTTCAAGTTCAGCGATCTGGTGTTTCTTTTCATTAGTAAAGATAATTTGACAAGATGAAATTTTAGGAAGATAAACTTTGTGGAAATGTCTAGGTCCTTATGAATACGTGGTAAGTACTATCCTTTAGAACTAATACTAAGTGGATCGGGTATGACCTAGCAGTTAGCGTGCCCGTATTGTGAATCTGAATATTAATCATTCTCAACCCGTTCCCGTAAAAATATGCTTTCACACTTTAGAACCATGGATGAGTTATAAGAGTGACGGTCAAATCACACTATTCGATTAGACAAGAGCAGCCGAACAGTTGACGGTGGGTGCTGTTGACTAGTTGTCTTCCTTCTGGTCTACCTATTCAAAAAATAGGGAGTGCTATGCCCAGTTAGCCCTTTGTGTAACTCGAAAATTCCGAAACAAAAAAAAAAAAAACGATACTGAGGAAACACCACCGTACATCTACCAGAAAAATATCATTTATTTTCAGAGATTTCAATGCCAATCTCTATATCTTATGATGAATTTTAATATTTCAATGTTTTGTGAACAAAACAACTACATGAACTAGCTGAGACGTAAAGCTACTAGTCCGTTTGATTGAATTTGCCAATAAAAATAGTTGAACATTTCACCAAAGTATTGTCACATTAAATGTTGCATAATCAACTTCGAATTATAACGTATTGGTGTTGACTAACGTCGAAAGTTGATCAGATCATAAATAATGGAGGTTATGGCACTCGGCTCGCAACCTGCGAGCCTCAGGTTCGAATCCCGTCACCGAACAAGCTAGCCCTTTCAGCCGAGGGAGGCGTTAAAATGTGACAGTCGATCCCACTATTCGTTTGTAACGAACAACCAAGAGCATGCGGTGGGTGGTGTTGACTACCCCCTTTCTTCTAGTTTATCTCTTCTAAATTAGGAACGGCTAGCCCAGATAGCGCTCTTTACCTATTATCTGATGATTGTTTTCAATATAGACGTTATATTCTAGTCCGCTGGTATTAGTTAACATCCACTCTCTCACATTATCTAACCTTACTCGCAACTCCCGTGAGTTAAACATTTAACAAACAAGCTTGACAGAACGTTAACTTGGACCTTACAGCTATATTCCAAACTTGGAATATTTTTTGTTTGAAGTTAAGCACAAAACTACACAATGGGCTATCTGTGCTCTGCCCACCCGGTTTCCAGCATTGTAGGTCCGAGAACATACCGCTGTGCCACTGGGGGGGGGGGGGGG